CATTTAAACCACTGAGACATGGTATTATATTAAGTGGTGCATCAGTATTAATGCATTAATACAATTAAAGACAACGTGCTGACTGCACAAGCATTGAACATACAAATGCAGAGAGATCTTCTTGCACTGAAGTCAAAGTCAGTACCTACAGGTAAGCGATGTTCTCCATTACAAAGGCTCCTGTGCGCACAGATCAGTGCTGCTGGTCAGATAGTCAGCACTGACTCTTCTGCCAAGGATGTTCACCTGATGGGGATGTATGAGGAGTGGATGCCATCCTGCCTTTCAACCCAGTATCAGTCTCATTACAGGGCCAGTATTGTCCAAGTGCTGGACGTACTTACTGGATGCAAATGAGAAGGCGAAGGCGCTATATCATTATATTCCAGCATAACAGCCATGAACGTGTACAATAAGAGTGTGATCAGGGTAGCAGCACAGAATGCATGGGCTCCACTATGATGTATTTGGCAGAAGCAAGCATCCAGGTTCAGTCAGCCTTGCTGGATCAACATAAGAAGAGCTGGATCCAATCAGAGACGTACTTACTGGGTTCATATAGCGCAGCAGGTAGCTTTGCATGGTTTCCATGGAACATGGATTTTTGCCAAAAATTACTGGTCAGGCATTTTGGCGACTCCACCCTAACCCACGGTCTAACACAAAACATGGGACATAAAATATAATATTGATAATCCTGTTAATTTCAGATTTGAGAAGCTGGTAATCTACAAAACTTTCCTGTATTCACAGATGTAAAAATATCTCAGTTTCTCACACATGCTTGATCTGTCTTTCCTTTTTTAAAATCCATGTCAAAAGCCAACCTATCTCCTTTCTACAAAACATTACAACTGGATTTTGTGCTGGACAGTTGCTAGACAACTCTGCTTGAGAACTCAAATTAATGTTTTCCTATTTTATTTTCACAGCAAACCTATGAGGCTGGTTGAAGATAGCTCAAAATCACCCAGTGAGCTTTGTACTCTTTTGCTGCTCAATTGCTTTGAGAAACAATTCTTAAAGCTAAAACTATAATGTCCATAACTACAGCTTATTTTTATTAGCCTTATTGAGAATCAATCAGCCATCAAATAAGTTATTTGGTGTCATTTGCTATGTTTTTCAAATAATATGGAAAAGTCATTGCATAAAAATTGCATTTTAGTCTAACATCGCACAACTGAGTACATAACAGCCATCTGTTTCTCACACACACTATGCAGCACACTGTTTTCTTTCAAATACTGAACAGATAGATGGTGAATCTTTCACCTTGCCCTGATACATCTGGGCTACTTTCTCAGAAGTCTGCACATAATCATCCCTAAGAATAGTAGGAGCTCTGTTTCTCATCTCAGTGTCCCTGCTACCACTAATCTATTTAAATACATAACAAAAAATAGCTGATATTAGTTTTGTTTTCACTTCATAAAACCAGAAAGAAACACTGCTTTAGAAATAACTAAGTTCTCATATTAAACTTGTAAAATTCCTGCTTGGTTCTTTCTTCTTGCAAATCAAAGTCTCCTACTGTGGCCAACTTTTAGTGACATATTTTTTTTCTTCCTGATAAAAGAGTTTCATCAGCCAAAGCCTTTGGGTGCTATACTGTGGTACTTTATCCTTGCTGCTTTCCATTCAGCAGGCAATTTCCTGTATATAACCTCACACTTCTGTTACTCATCAAGTAAAACAAGTAAGGGGTGCAGCCAAGGCTGCAGCCTATATATGATTATTGGCAACTAAGTCCTATTAGACTGACATCTGACCAATAGATGCAGGATTGCACTGTGATATGGGGTGGGAAACTGAAAGCCCATGAAACAAATCCAGCTCATTATAGTCATTTTCCACCAGAGACTTTTCCTTTCCTTCCTTTCTCAGTCTGTGGTTGAGTAGTAGCATGCAGAGGATGAAGGAAAACTGTTTGATGGGCTGGATTTAACAAAGGAGTAGGCTACCTGGAGAGATGGATCCTGCGAATCCAAGAGCAAGTCCCTGACCCAGTGCAAAGAGCTGTTCTGAAGGACTTGGGTACCTTCCCAGCCCTACTTCTCCATGACCACCCCATATGGTCAATTTAAGCTAGACCAGGCTCTGGAAGTTTCCACTTCCAAATTGCATGCACAATCTGTCAGGCTGGATTTAAGACCTTCCCTTTTAGCTCACACCTACTCCACCATCCTTTATTTCAACAGTGGGGTGGAAATAGAAATAAGGGTTATGTCATCTTCTCCACTCCACACTGTTTAGCCATGAACCTCTCTAGGTGATTTAGGGTGACTTTGGGCTGCAATCTAGTTCACACTTTTGCGGAAGTAAGTCTCACTGAGGTGTCAAGTAGATATAACTAGGACTGCATTAAGTCTGCTAACTGGTCTCACAGGATCTGCATGAAGGGAAATTTGGTAAGATTCGCAAAGCAGATTGTACACTGAAAGAAACTGCTTGATATGGTAAAGCTACTAATGCCTTAATCATGAGATACCTCTGTAAGAACATAAGAGCAGCCACACTGAATCAGACCAAAGGGTTATCTGGTGCATCATTCTGTTCCCACCTTGGGCAACCAGGTGTGCATGGGAAGCACAGACAGGACTTGACTGCAATAGCATCCTCCTGCTTGGATCTCCCAGCAACAGGTACAGAGAGGCAAACTGCATCCTAGGCCACCATCATGATTAAAGGCCCTCTACTTCCAGAAACAGCTATTTGGCAGGAAGGAAGAAGTAAAACTAAAGCTGTTCAACACATACAATGTCTTAGGAAAAGATGAAATTCTCTCTAACTCACTCTCTCTCATTATAACTGTAATGTTAATAAAGCCATTGTAAATGGGCATTCCTTCCCTAACCACCAGGCAATCTGCTTGCTAAGCCTAACTGAAAAATATAAGTACAGCTTTTAAAAGCTTTAAAAATACTCAGATAATCACATGATACAACAAATGGGATTGCTCTTTATGCAGGGCAGGATAGATCAAGCCAAAGCCATTCAAAGTTCTACTGGTTTCAGTGGGAAAGGATTGGGCACGTGCGAATTTTCCACATAGGGCTTATCTCTGAGTAGGTTTTACAGCCTATGAGTTTAGCAGGACTTACTCCCAGATACATACATATGGGATTGTAGCCTAAAGTTTTTCCTACTACTGTGGGGGTCCTGCACCCCTAATCCTGTGAATGTGGAGGACCAACTGTACAGTATATAGTGTTTGGTACTACCCACAGTTTCAGGTATCCCCTGGGCTGGGGGGCATGAAACCTATCCCCCACAGATACCGGGGTCCTACTGTATACTTAAAAAACATGTCCTGGAGCTGATGAAGGATCCTTTCCCTCACCACTAGAAGCAAAATTAAATTCCTGCATGTAAAAAGGCTTTACTCCCTGCCTTCCTCTCCATTGCATCCCTTGTACTTCCCCCCAAAAACCTGTCTCAGATGGTCCCCAACTCTCCAGAGCAGATTTGGAAGGTATACAGGGCAGGTACAGCATAAAGGGGGGGATCTGCACTGGATTTCATCCACTGTAACATGAACTTCCATACACCTGAGATTCTACATATAATCTTGCAATGCAGATTATACATATAATCTTTCAGGTCATCTTTCTAGAAATTGATCACTGCGGCCATTCTTGGATGCAGGTGATGTAATGCTTATTTGGAACAGGTCCTAGGAACCTGATGCATGTCCAGTCTTTGGAAGCAGACCCTTGCACAGCACACAGCGCCAAGGACATTCTCACGTTGCTCAAAGGTAATAAATTGGAAGTTTGCATGTATGACGTAACTCTGCTCCCTCCAAGAGACCCAGATCTATCTGTAAACTCCTCTCTCATGGCCTCCTGTTAGGGGAGCTGCCAACTGTGCCGTCTGTTATTAGCGCTCACAATAGTCCTGCTGAGAGAGCCACTGTACAATCATTGGTAACTGATCTCTCACTATTGTGCCCCACCTGTTACCAGCCCTGGCACCATTCTCCTGCAAATAAGAGTTGATTATCCATCACCTGCTAGTGACCTTCTCTTCCTATCTGAATTGCCCTGATCTTGACAGGCTCCTGCTTGTAACTCACTTCCTGGACTGCTTTCTGTTGTTGCTCAGGAGGCAGGACTTCATCAAGGGGCACAGCCAACCAATCACATTAAAAAGCAGCAGCAGCAGCAGCAAAAATCCTTCCCAGCAGTGACAGCAAAAGCAGCAGGAGAAATCAGCCTGGTGTTGATATGTACAGGCTTAAATGTCTACCTTTTTCTCAGGGTGGATGAACATGCCCTCCTAGGTTTAGACATGTTTCTGTCCGCTTCCACTAGGACTTGCTGGAGAGTGGTAGAAACACCGGCTCCATCAAAGCAGCCTTCCCTAACCTGGTGTCCTCCAGGTGTTCAGGACTATACATTCCAGTGTCCCTGACCACTGCCCATGCTGGCTGTGGCTGATCAAAACTGCAGTCCAACACGTGGCCAGGGATGCACCAAGCTGCCCATTTGCAGTTCAGGGGCAAAACAGAGGTAGCAGAACAGGGCTGGCTGGCAATGGAACCTGGGAGATCGCACTGGCCACCATCGCCCTCTTCTCAAAGTAGCCCTCCAGCACCATCAGACTGCTGACCAAGAGCTGTACTCAGATTAGTAGGGTTTAGATCATGGGTGGCAGCCTGTGGACCTGCAGATGTTTTGGCCAACACTTCCCAACATCCCTCACCATTGGTCGTGCTGGTTACGACTAATGCACATCATCAGCCAAAACATCTGGAAGGCCACAACTTATGCACTCCTGGTTTAGTTCTAGACCTCTACCCGCAGCAAGCTCAAGCTCTTCGCCAAAATACTCGCTGGGTCAATCTAGAGCAGACTTCTATCTGGTGTCCTCCAGAGATACTGGAGTACAATTCCCATCATCTCCCAGTCCCCATCACAGCCACAGGCACTGAGACTAATGTGAGACCTGGGAAGGGACACGGATTCCCCAGCCCTCCCGGGCACGTGCTCTCCTACCTGACCCGGTTGTCGTGAAACTTGCTCTGCTGGGCCTGATTCAAGTAAATGGTGCGGGCTGCTGCCTCTTCTTGGTCCGCAGAAGACGTGGCCCCGGACATCTCATCATCCGCCTTCTTGTAGCCCGAAGAGGAACAAATGGGTCCTGCCGGCGGCGGCGGCAGCAGCAGCCAAACAAGAGAAGAGAAAGAAGGGGGGGGGAATCAATCAGTTATGAGAGAAAACGATGCGGGGAGGCAGAGAAGGCGGGCGAAGGCACCCGGCGCGGGGCGCCGCACGCTTTTTTCCGCGCATCGCTCCACCCCGCAGCCCTGTGCAAAGTCGCCCGGGCGACAGCCTCCCCCCGGCGCGAAGGCGGCGAGCGACGGCGGCACGCGCGCGAAGCCAGCCCGGTCGGCGGGGAGGCAGGCACAGACCTCGCGGCGCGCTCCCGCAGGCGGCAGGCAGCAGGCGGCGAGCGGCAGGCAGCGCTGCGAATAAACAACGGAGTGACGGCCCAGCGAAAGGGCGACGCTCCCTCGAGCCCCGCCGTCGCCAGCTTTGAGCCCACCCACTTATTGATTGGCGGCGGCAGCAACAGCCGCCGCCGCCGCCGCCGCCGCGGTAGCTAGGAAGATGGCAGAGGAGGAGAGGGCTTGGGCTGGATGGGAGCGGCGGCCGGGAGCGCGCGCGCACGGCTGGATCTCGTCTAGGCTGCCGCTGGCCCTGCGCCTTGGGCACCAGTCCAGCGCCCTACGACCACCCTGAAGGCGGCAGAAGCAATCCCCGCTGCATTCCCGTAACGCCACTGACTGGAGTGCGTTTAGCCTTCCAGCTACACCCACTCGGAGGATTCTTATTCGCACTGTTACAGTTGCATCCTTCCTTTCTTCCCTCTTCCATGGAACCCGAGGCAGCTCACAGGGTCCCCACAACGACCCTGTGAAGCAGGTTGGGCTGAGACTGGCCCAAAGTCAGCCAGCAAGCCTCACAGGCAAGTGGGGATTGGTACTCGGGTCCCCTAAGTCTCACTGGCTATTGCTGCTGTTGTCACTGTAATTATAGTGTGTGTTTAGTCGCATAGACCCATCACGACCCCATGGACAACATCCCTCCATTGTTATAGTGCAAGGAATGGCAAACAGTGTTGTGTTCTAACATGCCTTAGGACATGCACTGAAGGCACCTGAGGGAGGCACCCCGATGAAGCTGAGCAGGTGTGAGTTCAGTCACTGCTTGGAATGGTCACTGGATGGGAAGAGTGAGAGAAATATTAGTTGTTTTGCTTTTGCAACTGAATAGGCCATCTAAATGGGACCCATTAAACTGTTCAGTCCACTGCCCCAAATTGCCTAGCTGCATCATTGCTGGGCCACAGGAGACAAACTGACCCCCCCCCCAAAAAAACTAGAAAGGGTAGAGCTAATGAGGGCAGGGAAACACATGATGGATCGATGTCATTTGTTTGTTTTGCCCCAGAGCCTCTTCCCTAATATGCAGAGAAAACAATGGGTGATGTTCAATATGAGATCCAGTGGGAAAGGAGACTCGGAACTACTCCAGAATAGCCTCATGTACTCTGCTACAAAATGCCTTTGTTAGGGAGAAGAAAAATTACAGATCTTCTGAAAACAGGGGCTCACTGAGGTACCACTGGACTGAATGGTCTTATGCAGGCCTCTTTAGATAGTAATGTGCATTACTTCACTGATTTCAAAAAATAATAATCTTGCCTTGCTGCATCCAGGGTGCCCTCCTGCTTATTTTCCTCAGTGGAGCCTGGATGTCTGCCCAAAAGTCCGGACCTGATGGCATCACTGAAGCAGAGTGTGCCAACGGACCGATTATCAGAGTCACAAAGGTAAGAATAGACAGCAAAGCATCTCTGCCCATTTCTCACTGGCTTCCCCTCAAAGTTCTTTCTGGCATTGGGCACGGTACCCACCAACTGATGCCTTGCCTAGTTGAAAGCTGGTATAGCTGAGGCACCTATAATTCCATATCTAGGAGCACTTAGTGGACCTTACTTCTGAGCAGACACGTATAAGAGTGTAAAGGGTACACTGTGAATCAGACACTCACCTCAGGTCAAATGTTCCCTTCTCCTTGAACACATTTGGACTACACTAGAGGCTATGGGGAATCCGTCTCATCTGAGCAATGCTAACGCAAAGGTTCTTTTTAAAAGTTTGCATGCAGAGGGACCTGATTTAAGTAGAGACCACTATGAACAAAATGAGGAGAGGTTATAGCTTCCTAGCCAGCCACCCCACCCCACCCCACCCCCACGCATGGAGGCTAAAAAAAGAGGAGAAAAAACTCCATTAGCACCAAAATATCCTTGACCCTCTCCTAGAATCTGGAGCTGAATATAATGCTCTACCGTAGGGAATGGTAAGGTACTGTACGAGTTATTTACTTCACACACACACACACACACACCCTTTCATAACCATGTTCATAAAATTGTTTTAAAAAAACAACTATTGATAAAAGAAAATATAAAACTCAAAATCTGACAATAAAGCAAAGTACACCCAAAATTAACCTCCAAATGCCACTACAGCACATGATAGCAACCCTCAAGCAAACACCAAGAGAAACAGATTTGCATGCTACTTAAACGACTGCAAATAACATTTATTTGGAGTGCTATAACTGAAAATATCAGTTGCCCTTCCCTTCACTATCAGAAGACCTTAGCCATACTAGCTGGGAATGATGTTGGAATTCTAGACCAATATGCCTGGCCTGGCCAAGTCAGGGTAGCAAAGGGTTCTGTCTAGAAAAACACAAAAGCTTGCAGCGAGAGCACTCATTCCTCTGAAAGCATCCAAAGGTCATCTACTTTACTGGGGACAGATTCAAACAAGAATGATATTTAAACTGTTAAGGGCAACAAGCAGAAGCACACAAGATATTGGTTGCATTGTAAAATTATTTTTATTTGGTCTTAACCCAGCCAGTTTAGTTAAAGTGCTATTTGCTTATTTTATCTGGCCAGGGCGATTTATTTTATTTTATATTGTTATTTTTATATTGTTATTTTTTGTATTTTACTTCATGTTGTGAGCCACCCCGAGGCTTCGGCGAATGGGGCGGCATAGAAATGTTTTAATAAAAATAAAATAAATAAATAAAAAAGTGCTATGTGGCACACAAGCACAGAGTAATTATGTCTTGGGTCATTCTGAGGTCAATAACAAATCAGCCATATACTGGGTTGGCTTTTCTGAATTTCAGAAACAGCCCAACCATGGAAAGGCAGTACAGACCCGTGAGCATCTGCTTTGGGGACACAGAATCCTTAGCCTCAAAGCCAACTTCCAGCAAGCATCCCCGCCTGGGTACGAGTTCCTGATTTTATCAACTAACTTTGAATGAATGCTTTGTTTTATATTTATTTATTTATTTATTATTTATTTATTAAAACATTTTTATGCCGCCCCATTCGCCGAAGCCTCGGGGCAGCTTATAGCCAAAGGCAAAAAAGTAGTGAGTATGGATGTCAAGAGGCTAGAAGAGTAGGGTAGGAAGCATGACAAAAAGAACTGAACAAAAATGACAAGTAAGGAAGGGGGAGAGAGAGAGAGAAAGAAAGAGAGAGAGAGAGAAAGAAAGACATCCTGCTTTGTATTGTAAAAGCTGATCACAGGCAAAAATTGCCTGGAGAAAGGCAATGGTGTGTATCGCTTTTAGGTGAAGGTGTCTTAATAGAGGGATTGCTGCTCACTGTGTGCGTGGTAATCCCACTTGCATCTTTGGTAAATAGGTTTTTCAGGCTTCTGTGTTGTTTCAGAAGTTATCCATGTGAGACAGGAGAAGAATGCAAATACACCGAGGAAAGCAGAACTGCTTCACATCCCTGCACACTCTCTTAACTCTCGCTTTCAGTCTTGTCCCTGAATGCATGGCAGTTCATTTGGGTGTATTTATGAACAGCACCTTGTGATCTGATAATCAAGGGTAGCATATAAACATTTTAAATGATTGTGTAATTTTAAAACTGCTACTACCTTTAATGAAATTATCCTGCCCATATGAAAAAATGCTTTATGCCAGAATAGACCATTGCCGTCCATTGTAACTGGAAGTAACCAGTTTCTAGGATAGCAGGCCTTATTTATTGCCTTTGTATACTACTCCATAGCCCATGGGCTCTCTAGGTGGTGTACAATTTCAAATAAAGTACAAGTTATTTTCAAAGAGCATAAAACCATAAACAGACAGCAATAACAAGACAACAACATTGCAGCTATAATAATGCAACCTCTTGATAACAGCAGCAAATAATAAAACTCAGGAATTAAAAGAGTCCTGTGTGACTCAATTCAAATAACTGGTTTTCAGCTGGCACCGAAGGGGCGACAAAGAGGTGCCAGACATAGCTCTCTGGGTAGCATGTGGCAGAGGTGGGTGCCACTATAGAGAAGGCCCTCCTCCTAATTGTTACCCCCCTCATTTCTTTGGGGGTGGGGTAAAATGGACCTCAGCAACTGATCTTAAAGGCCCTTTATTTATTTATTTAACATTTTTATGCCGCCCCATTTGCTGAAGCCTCGGGGCAGCTTACAACAATAAGTTAAATAATTAGAATCATAGATTAAAAATATAAACATTAGAATAAAATACAAACATACAATATAAAATAAGCCGCCCTGGCCAGATAAAATTCAATAAAATTAACAGTTAAAATGCCGCTTAAATAAAAAGGTCTTTGCCTGGCGCCGAGAAGCAAATAACGACGGCGCCAGGCGGACCTCTCTGGGGAGCGCATTCCATAACTTAGGCGCCACCGCTGAGAAAGCCCTCCTCCGAGTAGCCACGCTCCTAATTTCTTTCAGCGATCTCAGGGGGCGGCTGGGCATCTATGGATGCAAGCGCTCCTTCAGGTAACCAGGACCCAAGCCGCCCTGATGCTTGAATTTTTTAAAATGCAGGGTCCCATGCATGCAAAGCATGTGCGTTCCTACTGAGCTGAGATCCTACATAGAACAGGAGGGCCTGCTGCTTTGTTCACATTCATCCAACTCATCACTTGGATCAAACAGTTGATTTTACAACTGCCATTTCTATGGAAACGCAGTAAGAGGTTCTGGCCAGGATCCAAGCAAGCATGTTACATCTCCTCAGGGTTTTGCTGTGTGTGCAGGTGACAGCTCCTTACACAGTTCACACTGTGGTCACTCCTGAAGTTTTGGGGTACCACTGAAGTTACTGTCAGAACAGGAACTTATATACAGAACACCTGCACAGTTCATGATTCTTGACGGCCTTAGACCAGGGGTCTCAGACTCAACTCACCTGGGGGCCGCTGGAAGTAGAGTCTGGGGGAGGCTGGGCCGCATCAAGTATTCCACCACCGCGGTGGGGGTGGGCCGCGCATCCCGCGGCCGGCCTGGGCGCTGCCGGTGCTTTGAAGGCCACAGGGCCCCTCCCCCGTGCCCCGCCCGTCCTGGCAACTGGCCCGTGGGCCGCGAGTTTGAGACCTCTGCCTTAGACCAACCTGGAGTGTTACAAATGTGTTAAACTACAGCTCCCATCATCTCCAGATAACTTGGCCAATAAGCTGTGTCTGGGGCTGATGGCTGCTACAGCGTGACAAGCATCTGGAGAATACCAGGTTAG